GGGTACTCAACGGTTCTATCGGCTCACCGTTATTCAAGGGTTCCCTGTTCAGTCCTGTGATCTGGTTCAAACCCCCTATTTGCTGGTTTTCTTTTGTGTCATAAACCGATGTATTCTCTTCGGAACGTGGCCTAGCTGTTCGGCCAGGTTACTCTAGTACTTGTTTATTTATTTATTTATTTACTTGCACCTGTTATTATGAGCACTTAAGTTGCGTAGCCTGCCTAACATTTTGTAGCTGAGGAGGTCTGACTCCGTGTGAGACGTGAGCCATTTATACCATGCTCTGTCTGACCTCCGCATTTGGCTCCGGGTTGAGCGAGTAACCCGGGAACACATGGGAGACGGTTGTCTTCCTACGTTCGGAGCACCTTTTCGATGAGGTTCTGGATTGCACTTTTAATATGTTTCCAGTGTTAATCTGATGATATTGGTAACCACTTCTGTGGCCATACAGCCTTCAGGAGTTGATTATTTACGAACCGGTAATCTGCCTTCTGGTAGCGGCAGAACTCTTCTAAGTTGGCTACCAAAAATGTCTCCTTAATTGTCGAGGAAACTTCCACCAATGCGTGGTCACTTTGCCGTATCCCGATCGGGCTGCTCTGGCTCATTACTTGATAAAGCAGACTAAGTCCTCAAAACCGGGTTTCCTTTTATTAGGCAAAATATTATCTTCTTCGTCGCCCATCTGCCCTTTAAACCCAAAGTTAAACGAATGACAGCTGCCCTCAGGCTGACCGGCCAGTTCAGATCCGCAGCACAGCCTATCTAAGGAAACGTTATTTGTATGTTTCTGAGCTTTACAGATAACGCATTCATATCCTGAATGGTACTTCCAACTGGTTGTCTGTTTCAAACCAAATCATCAATAAGTGCTTGAGCGATCATATGTTTCAACCTAAACAGATCTCAGAGGATTCTTATTCACCGATTATACCCGAGGACGGCTGGCAGGGAGACAAATGACTAGGTGAAGAAAATATGATCACCTTCTTTTAAGCGCACTGGCACACTGGCCCAGCCGGCAAATGCCCTGGCTTTAAGTCACCTTCCACACTGAAGCACTAACAGATACAGTAATGAGCGGACAAACAGGACTGAGACAATCGCTCCTTACAAGACAAAAAAGACAGGACTTATTCATGGCTATCTGCTTCTATTTAAGTGCATGATATCACCCTTTTACTGCAGGCTTCGCTGTCAAACAGCGGTTGCCTTCTATGTTTTCAGTCGAGTACTCCAAATAACGATATTGTACATAATAAACCATTTGTCACCTAAGTGAATACTCATCTGCAAACAGTCTTCATGCCAAAAATCTTCCAACCCTAACAAGACGCATCTATATATCACTACATGAGAATTGTTTCGTGATCTGAAATGCTGACCATGTACACCTATGGGTACTCAAAGAGCGTGCCGATGTTCCGGGTGCCTCACTAGAAAACCCATTCAGATGCTGGCTTCTGGAAAGCAGGTTACCCTCCAACTGGAAACGCGTGGCTGCCGTCCTGGCTTACAAAGGTAGAAACAGATTATTTGCTTCCAGCTGTAGACTAGTCTCCTTAGTCTCTTCAATCAGGAGGGTCATCGAAAGAGTACTAAATGACGCATTTCGACAACATTTACACAAGAACCAAATCTTAAACGACGGCGGACGTGCTTTTTACCTGGAAGGTCGTGTAACGCCAGCTTGGTGATAGCGTGGAACAACTAGGCTACCCATTCGATCACAAACGCAAACAGAGTCGTTCTTCCCGCCCAGCATGGGGGGTGTCAGTAAGTATCCGCAGTTAGATAACCGAGATGATTGTATAGACCAACGCATTTCCAGTTCAACGTGCCACATCTGAGGGTAATATAGATTAGTTCCACTGGAACTATTTATCGTGGTGTACGGAAGTAGATTTCGAAGGAGCATTCGTCCAAACGGCAGTAGTTAGTCATGGACACCAGGCACCTTTCATACCAATGTGAGCAGCATAGTTCAGGGAGTATATTTCATCTGTAGTGACTTCCGTTTGATGAGATCACCTGATGGAGAGTGCCAGAAAACTCGAGATGTAGGGTTGCCTCAAGTAGGCCTTCTTTTGGACCAGCAGGTAAATTGGTCTCTGGTTTAATCACTTGTTCGGAATATCCATACTACTATGAGTGTTTGTAAAATCTAGACGGTTTCTCACTTGAAGAATCCTGATCAACCGGCGAGTTGACTGTTAAGATTTTGAAGAAACGACGAACGGTTGAGAGCAGTTCAACAATTTTGGTGTCACAGAGCAGGTATTACTTGCGGTAAGTGGTTATGTTCAGGCTAAAATCCAGCATCAAATTTCCCCATGGAGCTGTTGCTACAAGAAGAGGGAAGGAAGTGCGAGTAGGTATGGAAAAGGAATCCATTACGGAATCAAACTTGGGGAGGAGAGAACGTCCTACTCCTTCAGACCCATTCGAACTTTGCGTATATCATGCTTGCACGTGGAACCAACTGCATAGTTTTTCCATTATAAGGTTCTTAAAATTTTCTACATCACGGGTGCATCTTGGCAGGTTTGATGGGGAAACGGTATGCGTCAGGTGCGTCACACTGAAGCGGAGGATCGGCACGCATACCCTTGTAGACATTCGTAGGCCCACCAACCTTAGAAGAACTCGGGGACTTTAATAACTATTTTATACATTAAGAGGTTGAGGTACGTTTTCATTAGCCCGGGACTCATAGACGGTGGCTGAGGGGATTGTAGACTGATAGCTTATTCGTAGCCTGTTTGGTGAGGAGTGGAAAACTGCTAACGAACTTGCTGTGCGGGTTTCCTCTGGAAGCTTATCGCGAGTGCAAGAGAGCTTATTGGGGAAGAGCTTGCCCCTCAGGATTGTCGTACAACACTCAGTTCCACCCAGTACTTCATGATCACGCATATTAAAGCTAGGGTTGTAATTAGCTTGATTTGCGGACAATGCGGGTGCAGGGGCTTATGAAGTAACTCATAATAAAATATGAGGTTCAGTTTAGATCTCCTTCCCTGGAGAGGTTCTAACCTGAGGATGTTACACCCGGATGTGTAGTCTAGGTTGGAGTTGGCTCATCGTGGTCTGGGGGTGAATTAACGTTGTGCCCCTCCGAGTTTTAGATTATCGCTTATACAAAGGACAACGAGAATAAAAGTGGGCGAGTGCACACTTTGTGGAGTAGAACCCCTGATTTGGTGTTATGGAAGTTACCAATAGTGTATGCAAAGAGCTCACTCAACTTGGACCCCATATAGGCTGTTTGTCCCGAGAGTGTTAGGTATCTGGAATATTTGATGTCAAGATCTACTCCAGAGGAATGTCTAGGCAGCTTTCGCCCACGAACATCGACGGCCGGGTCGAGGTTACCGTTCCCTATGCTAACCCGACTACATTTGTCGCTATTGATTTCAGGGTGGGACTTTCCACACCCTGACTCCTATTGAACAGTATCCAGAGTATTGGGTAGTTCATAAGAGTTACAAACACATACAACCGTCCAATCACCTGCTCGTAGGAATGTTTCACCCCTGCTGAAGCAGTTGCACACAGCGCTGATACGAATTATAAACAACAAAGACCCAAGAAAACTAGCACGTATAACTCCACTAGTTATGTACTCAGGTTTGGACTGCATGGAATTTAATTTCACGACTTGAGTTAGAGCGCTAAGAAATGGTTTTACCCAACTAAGTAAGGCACCACGATTACCGATCGGTTGTAGCTTGTGGGTGCACTATAAGATACCCTATTAAATGCCCTTGATGGATCGAAGTATAAAATAAGGAAGGTTTTTCGTGCCACACGGTTACTGGGGATGGAGCTGAAGAAACCAAAATGCAGGCAGTGCCAACTGCGAGGGAATGCCGGAAAAGGCGAACGCCATCATGCACTCTCCAGGAAGGCGGTGAAGCGTCACCCACTTGAAGCGCCAACTTCCGAACTATTCGTGATGGTATTTAAAATCTCTGCCGGGTGACAACTAGGGGTAACCAACACGATGGCCCCATTATTCTAAGGCGAGACGCAAGAATTCTCGGTAAGATCCAGAGAGGGTCTATAGGGTCGGTTGCTGGGCTGACAGGCAGAACATATGCCCAGCACCTTTTACGTCTCAACTTGTCCGCTTTAAGCCATCAAAAGAAGGGAGGAGACCCAATGGCAGCCACTTGTTATCTGTATTGAATTTCGGCTTCCACTTGGAAACAAAAAGTCGGTTAGTCAAGTTCACTATGGACTGCCTTCTGAATATGAACTAGGTCGTCACAGCGTAACGTTTAAACGGCGCTACAATCACCTGCGATCAAGAAGAGATGATTATGTACGTCACTGACACTGTACAAAAATGAAGGGTCGAAAACAGTACACTGGATCACAACAAAAGTAGTTAGCCTAGGTTTTGAAGTATTGAATCCCAAGTCCATTGCGCGAGACCGCTTAAACCACTTAGTTGCCCTTAAGCTGCATTCGGCACGACACAGGAGGATCATGGGGGATATGATCATGATGCACCACGTCACTAATAATTCCTTTGATCCTAACAGATTCCTCTCCACCTTTAATCAGAAACGCCACCTCGGGGGTCACCCGTCAAGAGTAGAGCATGGGAGAGCACGTGCGAAGATTGGCGCTAACTCGTTTGCAGTTATTTTGCAGACTGTGGAGCTCCTTTCCTTCAGAAGTTGTTACAGCCCCATCCCCCAATACTTTCCAAAGGAGGTTAGACGCACACCTAGAATTTTGTGGTACCGATGGGCTATTCTCGAGAAGCTTTCCATCATCTACAGATCAGGAGGAGTAGTGCTGCCTTGTGACCACAACAACTAATAATCGATCATCTCAGTCCTTTCAGGTTTTTAGGAAACAAGACAACTTCGGCCATTCCAAACTTAAAAGGTACTCCAATATGACAGATGTGGAACTTGAGGAAGCATCGCTCACAAATTCTACGACACGAGGTTTGAAGTTCCGAATGTTGAACATTGGATTCCGTTGCAACCAGCAATACGAGTATTACGGTGTAATGCATACTGGCAGTGTATGGTATATTCATAGCTGTGTATTTGCAGAGCTAGAGCTATCCTCACATGATTTTCAAGGTTTAAATGTAATATGAATAGGTGTGGCTTAAGATAAATGGAGCTGATAAAGCAGATTGTAAACAGTTCTTAATTTGTTGTCAGTAAACAACATAATTATGTGTGGGATGATTCTTCATGAATCTTACAGGTAGCTTTTTCCTTCATAAAGTGCCAAGGTTGTAGTGATTTGGAAAAATCTTGCGAAAATATAGAGTTTTGTTGTTCTTGAATGACTGGACTCTCTGAGATCACGCAACTTGGTACTTCTTACTATGATCAAACCATAAATAACGGGTGCCTTTTCCTCATCTCATCACACAAAAAGAGTATTGGATAAACTACGCAGGCTCCGTCCAGCCAAGTTCCTTGACTGTGACGACCCGAGATCGGTAATCCTAAAGAACTGCGCTGAGGCGCTCGCGAAACTGATCCGTTATCTCTTCAAGCGCTTATTGGAGTCGTGCAGGCCGCCTAAAGATTGGAAGTGTGCGACCTTGTCATTCAATTCCTAGGGAGGAGACAAAAGGTCCTGGCGGCTACAAACCGATTGTCCCACTGTTCATATTGTCCAAAATGTTAGAAAGCCTGGTAGGAGACAAGATGTGGGAATCCCTTGAGAGAGGGAATATCGACCATACTGGTCAGCGTGGCTTTCGGAGCGGTCATTCATATACCGGCAACTTGCTGACTGCCTGGGATTATTGGACTTTTAGCTGGGACAAAAGAAAACCAGTACGTGTTATTTTTTCAACCCATCTGAATAATTTGATGGCGCCCCGCATGCACTCCTGCTTTACAGAATCATGTCAGCCGACATTAGCAAACCTTTAATTTCTTGGTTCAAAGTGTGCCTAAAAGGTGGACAGCTTTGCGTCAAAGTAGGCAGGATATGTTTGAAGTGGAGACCATCGACATCGGGGGCATCCCAAGGAGCAATCCTGGGACCACTTCTACTCTTCAACGACCTGTAGCGCAAAATCCCACCCATCCTATTTTTCGCTGGTGACATGAAAGTGTAGAGGGTAGTAAACGAAGAGGTCGACTGCAAAGTCCTCGAAGACGACCCACAACCACTGGAACCCCGCTCGTCAGAAAACGGCTTGGGCTTCGACCTGGGAGAGTGTAGAGTGGTGCACGTTTGTACCCACAAGGCGAGAACGGCCGAATTCGAAAACAAGTTGAGCAACCTTGCTATCACCCCAGTGTTCACGGAAAATATCTGGGGCTCAGCTTCTCCGACACCCTAAACACCGGCTCTAAATACAAAGGAACGGCAGCCAGCGGGAATGCCACTTCAGACTTTCTGCATGGACAACTTGTTGCTTTAGCCCCTGAACCGCTTCTCACGGTTTTCAAATCCTAAGTGCGGTCGCATCTAGAAGTCTTCTGTGCAGCAGCACCCCGAACACTCAAAGGGGACTCCAATTTCCTTGGGAAAATGCAAAGATCAACAAAACCAGTTGTTGAGTTGAGGGGAAGAAATGCTCTGACAAGTTGAAATACTTAAACCTATTGGCTTTGGGCTATCGCAGACAAAAGGAGTGACTTTATTATAACCTACGAGATAATCTATCAGGCAAGTCACGCAACACAAACTAACCTTACCTTCAACATAGAGGTCATCACGAGGGAACCCCATCAAGATGGCACATCAGAGAGCTGACACCAGGCTCAGGCCAAGCTCTTTCTCTTTCAGAGCATATGCTTCATGGTAGGGTCCACTGAGAGATGTCACATCCCTCTCATTAGACTCATTCAAAAGACAGTTAGATAGTTACGTTTGTTCGCATAGCTTACCAGGGGCGTACTCAGGGCATTACTAACCTCACTAGCACACCACTACTTCCTTCTTACGTACTATTCACCATCTCTTTCTTTTGGATACAGCTGCATTGTCCACTAACTCTTATCTAGTAACTAGACACATGTTATCTACATTTACCTTTTGGGAAGGTCCTACATGCCTTTTCCCATAATCTTGCTATTCCAATTCGGTCATCTATACAGACAGGAGACCCCTAATCTTCGCAGTACCCTGTAGCTTCCTACAAGTTGTAATAACCAACCCACAAAAGCATTCGTGTTATTGTAGCTAAAAGCATATAAGCATAGAATTTCGTGCCTACTACAGGAGTAAACAGAACAAGTAGAGCCAATCCCCAATAACTAGACCTGAGAGACAAGAAACTGCCAGTTTCCTACGCTCGCAATGTATTTTTGGGTGACCATGCCAGTTTTCACTCAACTAAGATACTTTGTCGCATCTTGAAATTTACTTTCGTGCAGCTTTGCAAATTTTGTAAAGGTGTGGATTTGTCAGTGACAATCTATGGTTCCCGGGGGAATGCTTGTGATTTTCAAAGTGTTGCACATCCCAAGGCATTCTTAAGGTTGTTCTACCTCGAAGTTGCAAGGTGCTTCCGGACTGATTGCCATATAGTGTCCACAGACCTGAGCTATGAGGGAATTTTATGGTATAACTGAATCGTGTACTGCTTGAAAACAATAACAGTTACTCTGTATGTAACTGCCTAATGCCATTTGTTTGCTGTTAGTTTTTTCGTATGTGTTTCTTTCTGCAAGTCAGGGGTCCTTGACTGCTCCTTTTGTAATTCGAGAGTTAGGAAGGGTTTGTCGAAGGGCAAGTGGTTAAAAGTGATAAGCTGTAAAAGTGTCACGTGACTCTATTCATAGAGTTCAGATGTGGGCGATAAGATTTTAGAAAAGTTAGTTCAAGACTGCTACTTCTTGTGAAGTACACACTTCTGCTCCATCCACTCGTACTTTTGAACACTACTTTTTGGAACTTCACTTACGGAAAGTGTGACTATTAGGAAACTGCACCCTAGCTCAAAATAAAGGCAAAGATATCAATGGTGTAAATAAGCAACGGCTAATTGAATAGTACGATGATCTTTCTTATCCAGAGAAAGTCTTACGTATTCGTTCAGCTTTGGAAAGTAGAAAGAAAAGATTGCAAGTAGCCTTAATCCAAAGGTTAGAGAGGGGAAATCTTTGCTGTGTCGTCCAAGTCAATGGGTACACTAATATGCTTCTTTGTTGTCTCTTTGTGCACTGAAGAGCGAAAACACTGAAAATACTAGTCAATTTTGTGTGTGATAATTAGTAGGAGAAACCAAATAGATAAAATTGATTGTCCTGGTTAACTATATTCAGTTGTTGAAACATACTAGTGACTAGTACAAAAACGTCGAAAGTGAGACAGAGTAGCGACCCACTGGAATGGCGAATAGTTATAATTCACTTGCAGGTTAATTGGGTGCCGGAACTGGTTCCCCACCTCTCCTCAAAGTTGTGTTACACACGCCTAGTCACCGTCTGCCTCGTCTCAAAGTGTTAGTTACCGTAGGTTCAGATTGGAAAGTGGTTAGAAATGACCAGACTAAAACATGGGATTAGGTTGTGAGTTTTCTGACTGTTAATATGAGCTGAGTGGAAAAAAGTCGAATTTCGGGTTGGGGGCTGAGCGACAACCGAAATTGGAACTCTTAGACTTTAGGTATTGTAGTTGAGACTCGATCTCAGTGGTGTAGATGAAATAATGTCATCTCTATCGTAAACGTTACAGTGCATCTCATCTTTTTTTATCGTTTTGCAGGGCTTTTGAATACATCCTTTTCACCTGTTTACTTACCCTTTATCTTACTGCATTGTATCCTGATGTGAGGTGCGGAAGCCTGCATGGTTGCTAACTAATCTCAGTTCTCATGTTAAATATTGACTGACTGACCTGTTATCACGGATTTTTATTTGGTTTCTAATAAGCATTCACTCTTGCACATACTATTGGATGATGATATATATCTTGATACCTAGCGATTTTTCTTTGTGTGTTGCCAAAGATTACTGTAGGATGATGTGGTAACAAAGTAACATGCATAATTACACCAGTTTGCTAAATTTAATTGCGCTTTAAATGTGATTTGGTGTTAGAACAGTGAAACCTTCAAGATACTAAATATGTGCCATGTTTAGTTATTAACCTGTAGTTACGTAGACTTACTGCTGGCTTTGAACGTTAAACCTTTTGAGAATAACTTGGAAAATGTATTCATTTCTTTTAGGTGTTTACTTTTTGCAAACTGAATATTGTATGGATAGATGTATCTGGTTAAGAGATCCAGGAGATTGCTTCGTGTCACGTGGTTAATACAGCAGTTAACAGTTATACCTTGAATCAACGCGCATGTTACACATTTGTATACAGGAATCAATTAAAACTTTTGTTCAAAAATCCTTTGGGAAGGTAAGTATCATCTTGTCCGCAAATTCCTTAAATAACTACGGAGATGCAGTTACTTTGGTTTTACTTCACACAGCAAGGTAATATCATTTACTAGATAATTTTTCGATCGAAATTCCATCATACGTGATCATGTCAATTTCACCAAAAACTTTTGATGCTTAGTTCTTATTGCTTTTTATGTAGATAAGGGACACCAAAGCTGTATAAAATCTTGCCAATTCTAAATTACTGTGATATTAAAAACTGTGAGTTTATGCCTAGACAAACCTTATCAACGACAGTATTTTGACGCAGTTAGACAAAGTGGCCTGACCTATTGAATATTGTATAGTAACTGCCCTTGTCAGGATCATAGCTACAACAGCTAATCGGAGTAAGTCAAGTTGCTGAAGCATAAAATTTGGGTAGGTTTCAAATAAAAAAATCCCACTGAGATGAGTAATTTATAAACAAGTTAGTTGTCGCTATGCGTGCTCTAACACAATCACAGTAGGATGGTACAAAGTAAAGGTTTTGAAACCCATGAAGAGAAATTGGTTATTGAATATTTGTTCATTGAGTAGACAGTAAATTCAGTTGGGGTACTTTTTACCTATTTCAGAGATAGTAAGAATTTTGCCATCATTGGAATTAAACAATCGGAGGTGACAAGACTAAAACACTAAGTATAAAAGGATTCGTGATTACTTTGACTGGGTCATTTAGAATAAGTTTCGGGTCGAACATTGTCCATTTAGTAATGCTGCACCACTATGTGACGAATCTAACTTTGGCATTGTTCAAATAATCCTCTTAAAATGAAGTTGTAACTACTTAGGTTCGTATTTTGTCTAAATTTACCTTGGTTGTAGTTCTCAAGTGTCAAGTGATATTTGGCGACTATTTTCATAGTTGATGTTATTCTTGCTATTTCCAATCTGTAAATGACCTACAAACTAATTTTAGGCTGGTCATTTTAATGTTTGCATCAAGTTAGTTAAATGTATTGATTTCTAAAAATGTGAGGCCTGAGTTCTTAAGACTATTTCCATCTCCTTTGTCTTAATTAGGCGTCAAGCTTCTAATAAATCTCCATTGTCTCGTAAACGGATTGGACATATCGAATTTGGTTGAATTGACTACCTGCAAATAGTCTTTATTATCTGCAGGTTACTGGTTTGAATCCTGATGCCATTCAGGTTTCCATTTCAACCCCAATCACTATTCTGTAGTGCCTTGAGCATTGCCCAATCAATGTCAGCATTCCTCATATCTGGAGGACTTTAATTCTTTCAATGTGGGCTCGAGAAGGTTTGCTTTGGAAATCATCCAGTTGTTTTCACTTAAGTGATGTCAATCCAGTTGATATGCTAGTGTATGAAGAAGCTATTTACGAACCGCTAAAAATTATCATTAGCAGGATTTTTGAGACCATTTGGAAGAGATGCTTAAAGGTGGGGCTTATTATGATTGTACTCATATAGATTTAAGTAATTGATTGTTCGAATCGTTGAAATAAGAACACTCGTTTCGGACAAACCGGTATGCTCAATTCGGAGGTTTGTCGGGATTTATTGGGAATTGAACAGTCTTTTTCATTACGAATAAAAATCAATAGGAAGACCAATATATAATAAATGTTTGTTTCCTCTCCGTTTGGAATTAATATTGACCTTATGACAACTATTTGTAAGAATCGCGATTATTGTGGTCAAGGGGATTATGCAGCTACTGGGTAGAAATCTAACAGATTACATTAATAATTTCCCGTAAATTCAAAACATGATTACCATTTAGTGGTGCTTGTGGATATCTGTTTTCACCTTATGGCGTCCAACAAGAAAAGTTAATAACAACTATCAATTAGTGAGTAGCAGAGTGAAATTAAGATCCACGTACTGAAATTTGAATGACCAGGAAGTATCATAAACCTTCACATATTAGGTTTTGCTCATAGTCTTATTCTTCGATCTGTTTGGTATAAGTCATTAACAATGAATTTGTTTATTTTGTAGGGAGTCTGAAAATGTTGTTACTAATTGCACAACCTCTGCTTATATTCTCCATTCTGTATAACTCCCAACATCCGACTGCAATTTTGTCAGTGCTTCTGTTTAGATACTGATTTCATGTGTATGAACAATACATGTATATGAAGTGTTTGCATGAGGATATTATTATAAATTTGACTATACTGATGCAAGCGTCATAAATGATGTCAATTCAGTCTAGCTGACCCAGCTGCTGCAAATTGAAATGAAGATAAGAGAATGACCATTGACAATTTATATATGCCGCTACGACGGTGAACAACATTGGTCTAAAACTATTCGATACTTATAGCGCCTTGTTTACCAGCTTTGCCAAAGTAGCTATTTAGGGAATTTGTATTTACCAGCTGTCGATTAATTTTCATCAAAGCGAAGATACCATTTTAGTCTGTTTTTTAGAAATGTCACACAGGGAAGCAATATCATTTACTGGATACGGTTTTGGACATAATTTATTGTATATATTCATATCAATAAATTTTATCCGAAATGATATCTAGTAAATGATGCTGTTTCACTGTGTGACATTCCTAATAAACAGACTGAAATGGAATTACAATCTACCACGGTGCCCAGGTCCTACCCTTATATTAAAGCAAAAATGACCATAGTCATCGAATAAAATGAGCTCATTTTATTTCGAGATTTCTCTTCAGGTACTGACATGAAAGTGATGAAATTAAAAAGAAATTAAAATCACACAGCCGTGCCATAGTTTATGGAGATTTGCTATCAGAATTGACGGCAACCAATGGCATTCGCCTGGGATGCCCACTGTCACCGTCCGTGTTTAACTTCGTTATAGACGTACTAATGGACATAACCTTGGGTACATCTGACTTCACAGGGATGGCATCTGGTTGACTTGGAGTACGCAGACGATACTGTCCTGCTAGGTAAATATACTGAAAAAATACGGGGTCTTCTGAGCACTTTGAGCAGAAGTCTGAGTATTTTTGGCATACATCTCGCACCTGTTCAGTGTAAGATGATGATCCAGGACTGTTCTGCAAATATCCCCAGTATAATGATAGGGAGTGGGTTGGTTGAAGGTGTCATCCACTTTTCTCACCTAAAAGGTTCGTATCTTTGATTGCTGGCTTTATTCCATTCACTTGTGAATTTGTACAAGTATGTCGAGAAGACTAGGTCTGACTAAACTTCATATGGCCATTCCATAAGTTTTATTGGCATAGTTCATCTATCAAGTGGGACTGAACGTCTTTCGTGTATAGTAGTTAGAGCCTGTCAATGTTTTCTTTAGGAAGAGGAAGCAAACCAGATTGTGTAAAACAAGAACGAGCAAATTTGCGAATTAAAATGGTGTCGTCTTTCCAAACGTCGATGGTATCGTCATTTGAAATAAGAAATGGATAAGAAATATGGGACGACAACAAAAATTTTGTTACGAATATTTAGAAAAAGACTGATTGAACGAAGAAATATATTCATTTTCAATTAGGGATTCATCTTTGGCTCTACACTAATATATAGTTTTACAATTCAATCAAATTACCAATCATGTGGTGATGTTTCGGAAATAATGATGTAAATAATCAATAGAGTTACTAAAATTGTAAATATGAATATTGATAGAAACAATAAGGCGAAGAGGTGTACAAAATAAACCTAGAAGTTACATCATGTTGACGGCCACGTTAATGAAAATGGTCGAACAAACTTCTTTTGGATATAAAGGCTAGGTTTGTGAATGTGGATTGCAATCGCCTCTGCTATGTGAAGTAAACGGTCAAACTTCTGTGCGAACTGAAGAAATCCCTTCTGTCTGTTTACAATTAATTTCTCATGAACCGGCTCTGCCTTTCCAGTCTCTCGAATCATTTATATTTCTCAGTGGCCTGTGCTAATTTTTCCTTTCCCCTTACAATGTAGCCGCTTGTTAAGTATGTTTTTCTTCATGCATCACGATATCTGCTTATGATATTCTGAAAATCCTGTTTTTTAAGTTTTTTCCGATTTCTTTTTCATCGATAAAAGACAGATTCTCAGTCCTCTCGACTGATCGATTGGTCGACCAGCGAATAAATCGACCAGTCAGTTCGTTGATTGTTTTATTTTTACTGGAACAAGACAACCGCATCTATTACAATAAAGTTCATTTTTATTTGTGTTGTGAAAACAAAACAATATTGCTGTTTTAAGCACGATATCGATCCATTTATTGATACTGTATACACAATTCTTTTTCTTGAGAAATCTTGTTAGGGACTTATTCTTTGAAGCATTTAAATACAAGCTTTCTTTTTAATTATTAATTGGTCCAATAGTTTAGTTACTTACCAACCCTTCACACACTACGTTGCATAGGTCAGTTTGTTGATATATGAATGTTCCACACCACATCAGAATATCGAGATACAATGTAGAAAGATAAAAGATAGAGGAATAGGAAGTTAAGTTATGTAACTGAAAATCACGGAAAGTTATATGAAGGAAAGAAGAAAGAAAATAAAACAGTAACGAAATGTGGCTAGCAGTTAGGGCGAAGAAGAAGTGTGGATGCATCTGTGCTATTGTGATCGGTTCCGAGCTATATCTCCTAGCCTCCAACCACTGATTTCGGGTATTGTTCAGACCCCAGTCGGGAAATCTCTGTTTTCCTACATGGCTCAGATCAACAGTCAGAGACTTCATGGACTGGTGCCACGTTTTGTCCTAGTTACCCATAGATTTTTTCCAGTATAGAATTCTCTTCATTCACAGGAAATACTTTACTGCCACATCACGTACAACTATCAGTACGAATTTACTTTTGTACCTCCACCATAGTGTAAGCTATTTATTTTGTGATAGCAATTACTTTTAGTCTTAATGCTATCTAACAGACCTTTACAGCATAATAGGACGTCAAGGAACCAGCATCCCTCGTTGGGTCGTTGTTGTATGTGAGCTGAACCAGCACGTCAAGTTAGCAGCCATCTGTCAGGAGTTTTATTGGTTTTATCCTATGACTGAGAAGATATGTAGACAGCTAGATAGATATAAAAATATGAGGTACCTAACACAAAACAGCATTGGCTTTGGTTTTAATAAAGTTCAGAAGAGGAGAGAAACCTTTATACCCATTATATGTAAAAAGAATCGTTGAAGTAACAAAAAAGGTGTGTAAATGGAGAAAAAACAAGTCAATGAAAATCATGATTTTAATAAGATGTTAGATGAAGATAAGAAATATGTACAACTACGCTGTTGTGATCAATTGTCTAACATAGGCCCTATACTTTTGTGACGAAAAAATGAGAAGAAAATGAAGGCATATGACTTACATAGCCATATGTCAAGGTTTTTTTGTTAAACTATGAGATGTGCTACATATTCTCCCAGCAAAATAGCATAATAAGAGAAATTAAGAATAGTCATGAAAGGTTTTTATCGAATGAGTGACTCGTATACACATGAGACCTCAGTGCCAAGTGCAGGTGACACTAACGGTGAAGTGTTCCTTAAGTTTTAATCATGTGATGCAATTTGTAGTGGAATGTTTTGATTTGGATATGTTGATCTGAGTTGAGGTATGGCAATTTAGACTGTTACGTAGTAATTTCAGGTCTTATTTTGATAGGTTCAGGTTTTATGACTATATCAAGATATACGGCTTATGTAGCAAGAAATTACCGATGTAGCTGTTTGGTCTTTAGTGCTCAGCTCTAATCTAAATCTATCGATCCAGTTTGAAATATATCCTTTGGGCTGAGCTGTGGTTCATTGGTCTAGGGAGATGACTTTCCACCTGTGGGCCATGGGTTCTAATCCCGCTTCACCTACCGCGGTTTTGGTAGCCAGTTGGTATCGTCAGCCATCACACAATAGGTGTGACTCATTGCTTACTGCGTGAATGTGCACAAGGTTATTGTGAGTGTATTTCCACTTATTTCTTTACCAAGCTGAGTGATGCAACACTGCAGTGCACTGTATTCTAGTGTTGGATTGTGGGCGTTAGTCAGATAGTAGACCTGGACGTAGGTTTTGTGCTTGTTGGTACTCATCAGCAAAGTGTATCTGCAACCATGAAAAAATTAGTGTCCTTAATACTAGCACCACTCAGTGCCGAAGTCATAGACTTTACCACTGAGCATCAACTGACTTCCAGTAGGACTAGATCAAGTACATGGGTCGACCATTAGTGGACAACCAATATAGCTATCTAGTTCTTAGTGCTCAGCGATGATCGACTTGTTTATAGTTATAAAATCTCAGCATTGACACCTTCAACACTGAATAATAAGGGCCTAGATATTTGAGGGAATAACAATTTTGTTTTCAATATTGCGCCTAACTTTAATTTACTGACAAAATACAAGCAGTCATAAAATCTAGATTTTCAGCCGTCAAAATATGATGTGTAATGTAATCTCAACTTTATCTTATTATTTCAGTTTCTTTGTTCAAAACTCTTCTACCATTGAAGTTATCTTCTACTTATGGTCTCCTCTATATCAGCAGAAGAGTTCCAGCGTTTTCAATCACAATTACTTGACTTACGTGAGGCGCAGATTACAGCTAACGACGCTAGACTGCGTGCAGAAAAACGGGTTAGGCAACTTGAAGAAGAACTTATCCGTACTCAAACAGCTTTAAATGAAGCTGAGTCTGCTATAAGTCGTTCACGTGTAGAAGAGTTGAAACAAGAGAATACACTTTTACGTGATAAACTATTGAGTACAGAATCTTCATTTCAACTTCAATCGTCAACACTACGAGCTGAATGTCATCGTTTAACTACTGAACTGGATAGACTATCACAACAGTTATCACAAAATAATAGTGATAAACCCAAAAATTCACAAATATGTCAAACATTTAACACAGAAATTCAACACAAATCTATTCAAGTGGATAGTAATGACTTTCAGGATTATCGAATCCCCGCCTTTTTAGCTGGAGATATTGAAAAACTTGAGGATTCATTGGAACGTGCGGATTCAACTCACTGTCGTTTAAAAGAAACAATTGAACAATTGAATGCCAAAGTGAATACACTTGAAAATAAATTATCACTCGAAATAAACAATTACCAAAGTGAAATTTGTAAATTGGTCAAGGAAAAAGACTCTCTTTCTGTACAGTTAAATAAATGTCAAGAAAAAGTTATTCAATCTGAAGGTTTGGAGAAGGAGCTGAGAAATCAAATTGATGCTGTAAAACGTCGGAGTGAAAAGTTGAATCATGAATTAAGACGTCAGTTGAATCGATTTTTACGCAGTTGTAACAATAATAATGGTGATTCGGAGTCAGTAAATTTAAGGAAAACTTCGCTACATTCATCCTCTTCCTCACTATCTAGTAATCTTAATATTACACCGACGGGATCTTCAACACCCAGTGGGGTATCGAATGAAACTAACACTTTAAGTGTAAATGGACAAATTTCAAAAGATAGTACTCCAAAATATTCCAGTGCTTCTATGTTGAAAAACTCATTCAGTGAAATGCCTCCAGGATTTTTCTCGGCGACTGACTTTAAAGTGAGTATTGAAATGAAATATTTTCACTTGTACTTTATTTATTGCTAACACTATATTACATCAGAGTAAACAGCTGACTTTCAGTAGGTAAGTTGTAAGTTCGAATCTGTCACAGCTTACTAAGGTTAAAGTGACCAAAACGTAGCAGTGGCGCTCAGATTGTAGAAATAGTTTATAGCGCAGTTTGTGAGTGTTCATTTAACTGCTGAGTTGCTTTTTTATTTTTCAATATACTTGGCAGACTTAGACGAATAAATCCCCCTCTTTTAGATAATGCTAGGGCTTCTTGAAAAATCTCAACAACAGTAAAAGAGAATAATATTAGTCACTCGATCGAATTTAATGGTCTATTTATTGCCTACACACTTAATTATTATGGGAAATTATTTTGAATAACTCCGAACTTTAATGAATACATATCTTTTTCAGTGTTAGTGATATTCTCAATTGATTTACTGTATTAATAACTTGCTACTGTTGATATTCAGCGAGAATCCCAATATTTTTATACAGTAATTGTGGTTATATTGCAGTCAATGGTGGACACAGATCATATTACCTTAAGTCCTGGTGCAAAGCACCTGCTGGGGCTACAGTCATGCATAAATCCCATCCGGGTGCATATATGTACGCCTTAATAGATGCAGGAAACAAACAGCTATAGAGATTCTGTGTGCTCGGCTGGAAGATGAGAACACCAAGCATGTATTTCAATAAGTAACTAAGCGTGGCGACAGCATAATATTCAGTCTAGTGTGTGAACAGCAGTAAAGACAGTTATTGATCTAGAGCCAAAGGCTAGTAGAAGTCAGTGGGTTTCTGCAACCTTATACGAACTGATCGTTGCGAAAAGACTCGTTCCAGCTAAAGCAGATGATGATGATGATGATGATAATGAGCTAGAGCAACTCAAACGCAAACTTAACAAGAGTTTTCACAATTACAGTTCGTTGGTTTAGGAAGATGACTTTCAACTAACGAGTCATGGGCTGGGACACTACTCCACTTACCGAGGTTCAGGCAACCAGGTAGTAGCCTTAACCTTAACACAGTAGGTGTGGCTCGTTGCCTACTGCATAAATGTGCACAAGGTTGCTGAGTGCATTTCGTTTCGATAATTACGGTGAGCAGCGGTGTGTGGTGAAAACGAAGAAAATAGAGGAGGCATCGGTCCTAATTAACACCTAGTCGTTATTCAAACTTAATCAGCAGATTGACACAAAAGTGGTGATTCATTCGGGAAGTTTGTGGGAAATTAGTTGATTTCAGTGTGTTTTCATCATGGCCTGATATTAGCTGGTGAACTGTTAAAAATCTGGGAGCGCGGGACAAATGTGTCGTTCTAGTTTGGCACTCTTCAGGTGTGCAGGCCCACGACCATGTGAGAGATCAACCCCAGAATGGTCGAGTCCTCTTACCTGATTTAGTTGATTCTACAAGTCACGACTTCTTACTAGGACTTCAATCAATGTCATTGTGAATATAAGACCAGGCATGCTTATGTAACGGTCCAAGTCGCTATGCAGCAGCACGACAAGTAACAAAGTGGTAAGATGAAGAAGGAAAGAAGAATCGGTCAAAAGCAGTAGAATGCAGTAAAAAAGAGGAGGAAGTGATCAGAAAATGCTGGATTCAGTGTAGCGGTTAAGATGAAGATGAGGTGTGGATATAGCTGCACCACTGACATCGATTCTTATCCAATATCATGGAGAGTATGCAGCCAATGGTTTCTGAAATCACGTGGACCCCAACTGGCTAGTCTGCATTTTCCTAAACTGTCAAAGACTTCATGCACTGGTGTTATGTTTCAGTCTGGCCACCTCCAGCCTTTTTTTTCACCCTTAACATACTTCAGCCAACATTCTGCGACGAGACAGACAGTGGCCAGGGATACGTTACACATGTCGCAGCCATCTGACTGACAGACAAAATCAGCGTAGAATCTCACACAGTAGCACACAAAAAACAGATGGATAAAAAAGAAGTCATATCAAAGTAGGTGAAGTTTTGTGAGAGAAGAAACAATCTGAAGATAAAGGTTACTGCAAATGTTCAAACTTTAGATGTGAAGGAGTGAATACATCTGCACCATTGTGACCGATTTCCAGCCATGTCACCAAGAGAGTCCTCATCCACTGACTCGTGTCATAGCGGGAACCACAACTAGGTAGTCTACATCTCCCTACACAACTCTGACCAACAACCCGGTACTCTATCGACTGGTGCTACGTTTTTGGTCTGGCCACGCTGAACTTTCTTCCAACCTAATCCACCTTTACTTTAACATGGCACGTGGAAGTAGGCGGTGGCTTGGCACTTGTAGTACATGTCTAAGGCATCTCACTACTTATATCTTAATATAATTTCAGTGGTCATGACTAACTCATTAGTTAGTGAAGTGAGTTGAAGTGAATAATATGGATTATATACGGCATAGTGCTTTTGAAATAGTTTTGCATAGAAGATCAATGTTGAATAGATATTTTACATTGCATCCTAGTACTTCAGAAATAATTGATAAATTGAATGTTTTGTAATTTTCGCACCATACAGCCTTAAGCTGTTGCATGTAGCAGTAACGTACACTGTCAAAGGTGCATATTATCGATACTACTGGATCATAAAATTATTCAAAGTGGTTACTTAGTCTAACCGTACATCATTAGAATGCTTTTTATTCACGATTAGTTGGTTCAAAGTAGTCGGTGGGAAATCATAATTTAGATTAGTGATCAACGGGGTATATCTTGCATTCTATCAGTCGAAGAAAATAACACTATAGGAAGCGTTACACAACTGAGAGAATTCATACAGTTGGATATATTCTAAAAAACTAGAATTTCCAAATCAGTTATTCGTTAGACAAAGTCCTGTTTTAAAAAAATATCTTAAATTAACAATTCTTTCTCGATCCTCTGATTTTTTAAATCCATAGAGTTAGGGGTTCAAATCTCACTGTAATAAAGAAGCTTTGAATAGCTATAAAATGTATTTCGCGATTATTCTGCCTTTAAATAGCAAAATGTGGGGAGACAAACAAGTAGAATGAAACATTTAAGTGAAAGGTTGTTAGAAGATGGGCGACATAAATAAACATGTTAGTTGGATGGTGGCAATCAGCAGAAAGCCCTGGACCTAGATTTTGAGCTTTTTGGCACTCGTCAGCAAGGCGTATCTACAACGTCGACAGGACTGATGTCTCGCCGGAGATTCGGACCCGCATCACGCTGTGTTGTGATCAGCGACGTTCCGCTGAGGCGTTCAGGCGGCGACTAACCTGTAGGACTGGATTACATACATTGATTGGTCACTGGGGGGTAACCAACTTTATGTTGTTTAGTCCTAAGTGCTGACCTAATTCCACCAATCACATGAAGTTGGTTACCCTCCAGTGACCAATTAGTGCATAAATGAGCACATTGATAATCAACTTTCCAGTACTTAGGTAAGTGCAGAAAGTGGCTGAGTTTAATTACAATGATATCAATTTCAAACTATTTCACCAGCCATTTCCAGTTGTCGATTTCTACTGCCTTATGGATGTCAACCATGAAACCTGTAGTTCTCATTGATTGTAAATGACCTGATATATTGTCATGATGTCATCCGTTCCATGGAAATTCTGATTTGTCTTTCATTCTTTCACTTTATCAACCAATATCGCATTATAAGATAAATGTTGGCTATATACATACATACATAAAGTCCAGTAATAATTTACAAGTTGGTACACTAAGCTATCAAATATGTCCATTGTGTTTGGTAGCTAGATGGAACAGGGTTCGTATACGTTAGTAAGTCACAGCTGCAGTTGTGTATGCATAACAAATGTCTCATTCATTTTGATCGATTCAGCTCTCCAAATTGATAAATAAATATATTCACTTTTCAAACAACTAAAAATTCCCATAATACTTATAAAAGGCAACAATCTGAACGAAGAATATTCTTCTCAATAAATTCTCTCCAGGTTCGACAATCATAGAATGCATTTGTTCAGCGTAAAAATAAGCCATGTTGTGGGCAGTTACATTTTCAAAATGCAGTGACATCTAGGGGACTGTAAGGGAATCGACTTAACTCTTTTAAATTATTCAATATCGGAATGATACATATACAGAAGAGTGATATGATGGTGAACACAAAGATAACGAATAAGATGGTAGGAGTGGCCTTTAGTTAGCTGAAGGCCAAGGGAGAAGAAATGGTTGAACATGTTCTTTCTGCATGCAGAGTTCAGACTTGATCAATCTTATTGCGACAGCCTTTGCTATGTTGAGCAGGTGTTGGTGAGCTACACGTGATATCGTTTTGGGAATAGGACGAATGACATTGAAAGCTTTATCAGCATCTACGTGATGTCGTGTGTCGACTAGCTGCGCTAAGACTGAAATTTTCACCACTTTTACTTCAGCCTTTCCGAACCAAGCTGGTAAATACTCTCGTATCCGGAGACGCACCTGCCTAATCGTACGTCTTATGTAAATAGTTCCACAGGGGGAGTTAAATTGATATATACAAGATGAAGAGGTAAGATTAGATAGGCTGTCCTTTAGTCTCCGAGTGAGGATTCGCCGACTAATGGATGATACATACACAAAGCCAACCTGCATAAAACGTCCTATTGGCTGCTCTAGCTAGGCGCTGTGAAAGAATGTCACTTGCAGCATTTCCCTTGAACTGTCAGCGTAGAAACAAAGGCTTTTTCCTCACTGTCATCAGTTTTCGTTTAGGACCAATGTAGTTGGTGTTAGTTTTGATGAACTTGTCCGGCTATCCGTTTTCACTTAGAATATCACGGATACACAGGGCATCACATAGATGCTGATAAAGCTTTCAATGTCATTCGTCCTATTCCCAAAACGATATCACGTGTAGCTCACCAACACCTGCTCAACATAGCAAAGGCTGTCGCAATAAGATTGATCAAGTCTGAACTCTGCATGCAGAAAGAACATGTTCAACCATTTCTTCTCCCTTGGCCTTCAGCTAACTAAAGGCCACTCCTACCATCTTATTCGTTATCTTTGTGTTCACCATTATATCACTCTTCTGTATATGTATCATTCCGATATTGAATAATTTAAAAGAGTTAAATCGATTCCCTTACAGTCCCCTAGATGTCACTGCATTTTGAAAATGTAACTGCCCACAACATGGCTTATTTTTACGCTGAACAAATGCATTCTATGATTGTCGAACCTGGAGAGAATTTATTGAGAAGAATATTCTTCGTTCAGATTGTTGCCTTTTATATTCGCGTTTGTTTAAATATTTCGAATAGTTTTTGAAAATAAATTTTTAACTACTTATTTGTTTTAAATCCATTAAAAAAAAATACCTGAATTAAGGCACTTATTGATCGAATGTCAGAAGTTCAAGAGGAAAATTGTACTCTTCGAAGAATAAAGAAACGTTTGGAAGCTGATATAACTGCTAAAAGTTTAGTTATACAAAAGGAACTTGATAATTACCTCAAATCACCGATGGTATTACAAAAAGATTCTTTGCCTCATTGTACTTCTAGCACTACCTCAACAACATCATCATTGTCAAATCAGTACAGTTCATTATCGAATGCTGTTCATTCATCTAATGTCAGTATCAACTCTCCCTCCTCGTCATCTTTAGTTGCAAATAATCCTTTTTCAAGTTCAACATGGTTCCCATTCATGAAAGGGTTATCTTTAAACTCTGATTCATCATCACCAACAGTAAACACCACAACGACAACACTATCCAGTGTCAATTTACAAACAGTGAATCGATTGAAATTAATGTGTGAAGAATTGTTGACTGAGAATATTCAACTGAAAGAACAATTAAAAACACCAACTGAAACTAAATAAATATCATAAGTCTATTATACTCAGTGATCTTTCTTCCTTATCCATATACATACTACTTATATACTTATATTTGCTTTTGTGGTACTTTGGTTTTAATTTGTGCGTAACTTTGACTTTTATCCTGTTTTTCTTTCCAGTAATTATCTTATTCTTGTCTCGTATAGATCTCATTGATTTACTGAATGTTTTTATCACGATTATCGCTACTGGTACTATTATGAGTAGTAGTAGCAGTAGTGTCAATGGAAGTAGAGGTTGTCAGCGCAAATGCATTCCTATTGATTTGAAATTTTATTTCAACATGTGTTACATTTATTCTCTTGTCAAGATTTTACCAACTTTTATTATTGCACAGATATTTATTAATACTATTATTATTATTATTGTCATTATCATCATTTTTGTTTATGTAAATAGTTTTTTATTGGTGTGTTGTGATATTACCAAAGTTTATTTTACTAATTCACTAATGCCTTTGAATTGTCGTCAAGTCGTGTTTTATAGACATTGGAATGAGTAATATGGATTGATATTGATTGGCTTTAAGACATTTGCTGGAAATATAAAATACCCTCGATTGGGTCAATTTGAATGTGTTTTGTGCATATTGTTCAACCTTATAATTATCTGTTTGAATGTGCGGATTAAAAGGCAGCTGCCGACTTCTCATCTGTTCGAACTCTGACTATACTTCAGTGTATCCTAAATTCATCTTGCGTTTCAGTGTTAATCTAAATCGTTATCCTAGACAGAGGTCGACGCGAGCAAACTGGTTGTACTTGATATTACAACTAAATACTAAACCGAGGTAGATTCAAGTTAGCCGTAGAGTTTCTAGAAGGCGTAGATGAGAATTGGCCACACTTACAAGACTCCATGAAAACGGTGGGTAATGCTACTTGTGAAATTGAAAACCGCCCCACTAATAAACACCGGATCTTTGAGAGCTCCTTGACGTTTGTTGGTTTATTCCAGCAAGTAGCGGGCACAATGGAGTGCGTAAGTCTCTTACACGACAGATCAAACAGCATTTATATGGGGATGAAGGAGCCGGGTAGTCAGGACGCACAAGTGAGATGGAAGCAGCAGCTGCATCTGACAGTGGTCTGGAGCCGTTCCAGCTCATCTGAGCTACGGGCATCAAGAAATCTGGTGTCAGTGAGATGGTCTGTGAAACAGATGGCTTGCCAATCGCCAACCTTCATAAATTCCTGGAACACTGAGTGAAGCACTTAGAGAAACAGATCAGCTTGGTTCAGTATCAGAAATCACAATATCTTGTGATCTATTGTCAGTTAACGCTGATCCACCTAACGAGGCGGATGTTCGTAAGGAACTCCGGAAACGTACTGTCATCTTTTACAAGGGATGGAGGTGAGGCCTTAATCACGGAACTGACTATATTGCTTGATAGGACATGACAGAGTGATAGTATTCCATCATGCTGGAATAAAGCTGTTGCTGTACTTATCTTTCAGAAGAGTCTACGTAATATGTACTATGATCATCGGTGTATCAGTCTGCTACCGACTGCGTACGTGTTGGCTGCCATCATGTTTTGCAGGCTGTGCAAAACGTGTGACAATCTGATCCATATGGGGCAGGTCGAGTTTCGTTCCCGGTGGTTGATGGAGTGATCAAGTGTCGTAAGTTTGAATGCCTTCATACATATTGCAGGCCAAAGATCTTTCTATCACGGTTGCCTATGACTCTTTGGACGCGGTTGTACCCTGGAATTTTATGTGATAGAGGGGTACCCTTGATAAGTTTGTTAATATCTTGGAAATTTTATACTTCATCACGTTATGTAGATTGAAGGCATACATCATATATGGTGTATTTCACTTGTTTAGTTTCGGCGTAGTATATACGAAAAAAAATTTTTTCTACTATTCTTCTAAAGAAATACAGTTACCGATCTTCATTGTTCCTAAGCAGTAATGGAGTTAGGTTTGGTTGCGTGGTTTCACTTTTGATCTTTAACCTTGCCATCGACAACATTTTAGAGATAATCCTGAGGGGAGTGCGTGATGGCGTAGGGTTGCTGCCAAGTGGAAGGCTTTTTGACTTCGAGTATGGGGATGATATTGTTTTGCTGTGCTACAGCGTACAGGCTACTCAAACCGCACTTAATCAGTTAGTGATCGGTGTTCGTAATCATGTTATGTACTTGACGTCGTCAAAGTGCCTCTAAAAGACTGGTACTAGCGTGCACATGCAGTCACCTTTGGTGGTAGATTCCTGAAAGTTATCGAGAAGTTCGTGTACCTAGGTAGTTGTGTGAGTGCGAATAGAAGTGCGATTTATGAGATTTTCAACCGTATATCGAAAGGCATAGCGACAAACGCCAGTCTGTGTTACATTTGACGCCGTTGTGATGGTAACTTTTCTCTCACAGGGTTAAGTATACACCGCATGTGAATTCGCAGTTTTACTCTGAACTTGGGATATGTAGCCTATTCAAGATTTGAAGGTCCGAGGACCGTGCGTTTCCCATCACCGTTGTCTACGTAGAGTTGCTGGCATCCGTTGGAAACACTATGCAGGCGGTTCTGAGATGACATGAGTTCTCAATGTTACAATGGGAATTATTAAATTACTGAAAAAAAATGCAAGGACCCTATGATGATTACGGAACTTAATGGGTTTCTACGCTATTCTGTCAAACTTAGTTTGGTTAAATCTGAGATTAATTTCTTCGAAAGTAGTATCAATAGAAATAAATATCCAAACTGTTCTGGAAAGCGCTTAGGTGCAACCATATCCGACCTTCTAAAACACTGAAGCGTTACGCACTTAGTTGTATTGATGTCTTTGGCTCTCATGTTGTCGAGTTAAAGAGGAATATATCCACGGGAAGTCACGCTCTCTATAAGTTATTCACTGGTGAACACACAGTTCAGGGATTATGTCAATACTGTCGTAGAAAAAGTCTCAATCGACCAATCTAATAATCTCAATGGTTTAAAGCCTATTGAAAAGGAAATGAAATTTCTCAATAATACAGAGACCCAAGTACTGAATCACTCTTCTGTTGATTTCTCGACAGTTCAAATGCAAGCTCTATCGCTAGGCCTGAAGTTCTGTAGCAGCGCGTCCGAGGTTAACAGACTGCATACTCAAGTGCGATTTGAAAATTCAGTTAGTCAGACTATTGATCACATGCCTGTATCGTCACAGGAATTTCAGGTCCACTGTTGTCATCAATTTACCAATCCCCAAATAAGCTCTAGCTATTTGCTGACTAAAGGCCATGTAAAATAGTTCAAATTACTTAAAGATAACACATATCATCATCGTCTTGATAAAAAAGGTTTTGTCCTAATGAATTGTTAGGAATATATTGATATTCCTAAACCTCAAGGTGAGATCAACAAGGAACATAGTTAGAACGCAAGTGCCTTAAGAAACATGAGGGATAAGTCAATAATTGCCTTCGATTTGTATGAACGTATCCAACTGGTTGGTTCCATAATACCACGTATATGGACTACCGAAAATACAAAAAGTAGGACTACCTCTTCCTCCGATCTTGAATACAGCTAAGTGGCCAGCTAAAATGCTGGAACCTGTTAGAACACGAGTGTCTAGTTTTTCTATTCGTTATACATTTGAGTTTGTTGAGAGTATTAAGGATTTTAATGCTTTATAGAAGACTTTTTCATTAGACGCTACTTCATTGTTCACAAGCGTGCCACTCACCGAGACTGTCTATTGTATATATGACTACATAGATGCACACAATTTAGATGTAGAACTGCCAACCAGCTGCTTGTAAGAGCTTTTGTTGAGGTGCAGATTTATTGTTCAATTAAGTTTCAATAATGAAATCTAAAGACACAAAGACGGGAGTCACTATTGGGACCATTGTTAGAAGGTTTTTTCATATCAAAACTAGGGTATACTCAACTTTCTCAAACTATCAATCGCTTTGACTTTTATAGAAGATATATAGACGACACATTTGTTACCTGTGATAAAGATGTTGATTTAGACGATGCTCTTCGTTGGTACAATGATTGTCATCCACCCTTCAAGTTCACCGTAAAGAAGGAATCAGAACCAACTATCCCTTTTCTTGATGTGCTTCTCATCAGACGTAAGAATGGATTCCTTAAAAGATCCAGCTACAGAAAACCAAAGTGGAACGGACAACTAACTAGTTTTTATAGTTGGGTGCCTGTTAACAGAAGAAATCTTATCCACACACACTCTGCTGTCGAATAAGAAATATCTGTAGTGAATATTGTATTGGTGGGGAGCTATCGTTTTTAAAAACCATCTCTGCTGTTTCATTGGTAGAAATATGCGGGAAAGAAATACTAAACTGCTCATCTACTCTGTTTGAAAGAAAACATTATTCATAAGCCTAGGATTTAAAGATGACCAAGCATCAGATGTACTCAAGCATCGTCCATGCGAGCCAATCAACACAACTTTCTTCGCAGCAAGACTTCAATTGACTTTTACCAGCCCTAAACTATTCTTCGTTTGCGTTAAAGATAAGCTTCCTCGTTCGGCCGCCTCTATGTCCGTCTACCAGTTCACCTGCTCTTGTGGAGCAAAATACATCAGCCGTAACCAGAGAATGCTTTCTACACGCATACGAGAACATGTTCCTGCTTGGTTTTATAAAGGTGAAAGAAAGTCTGTTAGAAGTTCGATTGTAGAACATTTGATTGATTTCCATCACTCAATAAACCCAAACAATGACTTTTAAATTATTTATCAAATTCGCCCAAACCCCCTACGTTTTCTTCGTTTTCCACTCCTTAAAACAGCGGAGGCTTTAGCTATTCATGAACTAAAATCTGATCTGCTGTACAAAAGAAGTATGTGCAGTCGCTACTTTTTCCCATCACTATGACATTCCCCCCCCCCGACTAGTTCCCTTCTTACTTTGTTAAATTAACCTTTTTATCCTACCTTTATGACTATTATTGTTATTATAATTGCCTTCACTTTGATTAGCTTCCGGTGTTATTTCGCTTAATTGTCTTAGTCTTTTTAGGAAACATTGATTTCATTTTAACCAACTTGTCTAATCCCATTACATAATACTTTGTGGATTTACTGCTTTCATCAATTTCCCACTCCTTTCTGAGCTATATACGTTCTATGAACCATTCCATATATTACGTAATCCACTTTGTTATCATTCATACTTCAACTGTTATCATAATCACGAATACAAAAGTTATCATCATATAGTGTTTAATTTTCCTCACGTATACACTTTTCCAAATATCATACATGTATACGAATGTACCGCTTAAAAATAAATTCGTTGAATGCAGTCTCTTTGCTGAATGTCTTGTTCTTGATCCTGAGATGAAACGATTTGTGTTTTTGAGCGTGATAGAGCTGGTCATTCATGGAGTAAGATTATCGTGAGACACAGGTTTCCATGGTTTTGATGTGTTAAGAATGCTCACTCTTCGCTTGCCCTGTAACTTGTTGGACGAAGCGGAGAGGTGGTCACTGTTTGACGTGGTCTCGTGGGTGAACGATAATTATGTTGAACTGGTATCCGTATGGGCCTCACAACTCTGTGGATGGAGTCCAAAATATGATGGAACTCAGTCG